AGAAGGTTTGTCGGTCAGAGAAAATTAGTCGGTCGGAGTCAGTGGCTGCTGGAAAAGGAAGAGAGATAGGAAGAGACAGAAATGTATTTGTGGTAGGTTTTAAATTTTAAAATAAAATAAAGTATTTAATATGGATTTTAATTTCCCAAAATGTAATAAATTTAAAAAGGAAAGTAATTAGTAAGATTTTTTTTTCACTACCCAAATTGTACTTGGTTCTGACACTCACAACCTCTTTGAGGGATGTGACCGTATCCCACCCCGTGATGAGTATCGAGAAGGAGATCTTTGAATTGTGTTTCATTGGTAAACTAGGTTTGATCTTGTTGTAAGAAAGCCATTAAAATAAATGGGCGATGATTAAATATTCTTACTATCTATCTATTTAACTTCTATATTAAAATTAATAATTTAGTTTATAAAGTTATGAAATATTAATATCCCCCAACTCCCATTTCAACCAAAAGGAGTTTATGAGATTCTTGTAATAACTAAAACTCTAATTATTAGATCAAATACTACTTTTACATTCGATATGAAATTGAAGCGTATTTTTGCTTTCTCTCCCTCTCTCGCGATTCTTTATCTTTTCCCATGTCTGTTACAAGTTTTAATTTTAAAATTATGTCGTGGAATGTCGGAGGTGCTGGTAGCAGCGCCTTCATTAGAGCTTTGAAGTTTATGGTGACGAACCATAAGCCTAACATTTTGATTCTTTTGGAACCTCAGATCAGCGGGGAGGTGGCGGATAGAGTGTGCGGAAAAATGGGCTTCCCAAATGTCATGAGGGTTGAAGCTGATGGTCGTAAGGGCGGCATTTGGCTATGTTGGGACGCGGCTGCTGTTAAGGTTGAGCTGGTTTCAGCTTGCTTTCAGCATCTAACAGTGCGTGTCTCAACTTCGGGAGCTGCGCCTTGGCTCTTAACGGCGATTTATGCGAGTCCCAGGCAAGATCTTCAACGCTTTTTGTGGCAGGCTATTTTTAGGACTGGAGAAGAGTTCGATCTACAGCGACTCCTCACCGGAGACTTTAATGCCATTCGAAGTCCTTCGGAGCAAGCAGGACGGATCACCACTTCCATGTACCGTCGCTGCAGAAGGTTTAGCGATAGAGTCGAGCAGGCAGGTCTGATTGACCTCGGGTATTCAGGACCCTGTTTCACCTGGACCAGAGGAGATCAGTCTACCACCTATAAAGCCAGCCGAATTGATAGGAGCTTGTGCAATACATCGTGGAACTCCGCCTTCCCTAACACCTCCGTCCAACATCTCCCCCGGATTCATTCAGATCACCACCCGATTTTAACCACGGTTAACAGCCAGGGAGTGTCTACCTCTTCTCCTCGCCCTTTCCGTTTTGAGGGAGCCTGGCTAACTCATGATTCTTATGCTAATTTTTTGGCAGATCGGGTTTCTCAAGCTCCGCTCCATGATGCCTTGAAGAAACTTGCTGGAGACCTGGTGGAGTGGAACCGAACCACTTTTGGCAATATTCTACACAGGAAAAAGAGACTTCTCAGTCGCATTCATGGTATTCAGGCCAGGGTGGCAAGTGGCTTCTCCCCGGGATTGTATAAACTACAGAAGAAGCTTGAGAAGGAACTTGATGATGTTCTTGAACATGAAGAGATCCTCTGGTACCAGAGATCTAGAGAGAATTGGGTGAAATTCGGGGAACGCAACACGACCTATTTTCATCAGCAGGCGATCATTCGGAGGAGGAGAAACAGAATCGCAAGCCTGAAATCCAGCAATGGAGAGTGGATTTCGGATCCGCAGGAGCTGGCATCTCTGGTTTTTTACTTCTTTTCTCTTCTTTATTTGCAGGATGAGCAGGACTATACTGATGGAATGCCTAGACAAGCCTTCCCCAGACTGACGCATGAAGATCTTCTCCTTCTCCTTCGACCTTTTACCGGTGCTGACATTCAGAGGGCGGTCCAGGATATGAAACCTTTCCAAGCCCCCGGACCGGATGGATTTCAAGCTATATTTTTCCAACGGTCCTGGCAGGTGGTGGGGAAAGCACTAATTGATTTGGCTATGAATTTTTTTTCCACAGGAGTGTTACCCGAGGAGGTGGTTGAGTCGACAGTGGTGCTTATCCCTAAGGTGGATCATCCTGAGATGGTTTCTCAGTTGCGCCCAATTTCTCTTAATAATGTGTGCCTGAAAGCTATCACCAAAGCGATCACCAACCGGCTCAAGCCTATTATGAGGAAGCTAGTGTCACCACGGCAAAGCAACTTTATCCCGGGTCGTCAGACCACAGATAACATTATTGTTTTGCAGGAGGTGCTTCACTCGCTTAGGAAGAAGAAGGGGAAGAAAGGAGGAATGGTCCTGAAAATTGACCTTGAGAAAGCCTACGACCGGCTGAGATGGGAGTTTCTCAGAGATACCCTCAAGGAAGTCGGCCTGCCTAGCTCTTGGATAAATTGCATAATGTTTTGTGTGGAGCATAACAGAATGAGGCTGCTATGGAATGGCGAACTCTCGGCTCCAATCATTCCTACCAGAGGGGTCCGTCAGGGGGATCCTCTCTCTCCTTACCTCTTTGTTCTATGCATGGAACGATTGTCTCACAGGATTGATCAAGCCATTCAGGACAACCTTTGGAAGCCCCTGAGGTTGTCCAAAAATGGACCCTTGATATCTCACCTGTTTTTTTGCAGATGATCTTATTCTGTTTGCAGAGGCAGGAGGCGGCCAAGTCCGGATAATCAAGCAATGTTTGGATGAGTTCTGTCACAGCTCGGGACAGAAAGTCAACTATAACAAGTCTGCGATTTTTGTCTCAGCTAACATTGACAGGCGGCGGGCTCGGAGACTTGCCAGTAGAGCAGAGATTCCCCTCACGGTTGATATCGGGCGTTATCTAGGAGTGATGGCAATTCACGGGAGGGTGACAAAAACCAGATATCAAGACCTTATGTTAAGAATACAGAGGAAGCTAGCTCCTTGGAAGTCAAAGCATCTCTCACTAGCGGCTAGAATCACTGTGGTGAAGTCTATCTCTGCCTCGATTCCTATTTATCCTATGCAAACAGAGTTGCTCCCTATGAATGTTTGCAGGTCTCTGGATCGAATCAATAGAAGCTTCATTTGGGGGGATACGGAAGCCAAAAAGAAACTGCATTTGGTAGGATGGCCTCAGCTTTTGAAGCCCAAGGACGAGGGTGGTCTTGGTATCCGGTCGACAAGGGAAGTGAACCTTTCTATGCTGGCAAAAGGAGGTTGGCGCATTCTACAGGAGAAGGACAACCTTTGGGTTCAGATGGTTAGATCGAAGTATGGAGGAAACCGGGAGCATCTTGATCTCTTGAGGCCGGTTCAGGGAAGTTCCTTTACCTGGGCTAGCTTTACTAAGGCGGCCGACTTACTTAAGAAAGGTTGCGCCTGGAATATCCATAGAGGGAACCAAACTAAATTCTGGATGGACACTTGGATTTTGCAGGTTCCACTTCAAGAGCTGGCTACGGGCACGATTCCGGAGGATGAACGGATGGCTGTCGTGGCTGACTTCGTGGATGAAGAAGGAAATTGGCAAACTGAGAAGTTTGAGAACTGGCTTCCTCAGGAGATTCAACAGCTAATCACTGCACATGCGGTAGACCCTTTATCTTTGGAAGACGATAGGCTGTTCTGGAGGCCAACAACAGATGGAAGATTCTCCACGCGGAGCGCATATCAGCTGCTCCAGCCCGAGAACCCAGGCGATCAGCAACGCGTGTGGAAAGCCTTGTGGCGGCTGCAGGTGCCAGAGAGAGTACGATGCTTCATCTGGCTGGTGGTTCAGGGAAAGATAAGCTCCAATGAATTCAGAATGCGCCGTCACATGACTCATGAAGGAGCTTGTTATTGTTATAGATGCGATAATCAGGTGGAGAGTCTTGATCATATCTTCAGGAGATGCCCACTGGCGGCCTTCCTTTGGCATCGCACGGTTCCCAATGAAGCCCAGGCTGAGTTTTTTAGCTTGGAATGGGAAGAATGGCTGAAACGAAACCTCATGAGTAAGAAGACGACGAGTTCGGGGCTTGCTTGGGATACTTTTTTCAGCATAGCTCTCTGGTGCCTATGGAAGAATAGAAACGAGGGGACTTTTGAAGGCTTGAGTAAGACATTATCCGCCCCATCTCTCATGCAATCTATTCTGATCAGGGCGGATCTTTGGAGTCAAGCATGGAATGCACCGTCAAATCTAGTGACTCGTGGTGCTACTACTACTAGTCGCACTATGACAGAGATTGGGTGGAAACCTCCACCGACAGAATGGGTTAAGATCAATATTGATGGAGCCGCGAGTGAAAGACAGGGATCAGCAGGAGCGGGAGGCACGATTCGGGACGCCAGCAGCACTTGGCTTGGAGGTTTTGTCTCTAGCTTGGGAACTTGCTCGGCTGCTCTGGCGGAGCTTTGGGCTATCTACCATGGTCTGAAGTTGGGATGGAACCTCGGCTACAGGACTATCATCATTGAATCGGATTCTCAAGTGGCCATTCAGCTCGTGAACAACAGGATGGACCCCCTTCACCCTTATGCAGCGATCCTTTCGGCGATAAGGAGGAAGATGGCTCAAGATTGGGTAGTGAGCCTTGTCCATACATATCGAGAAGGGAATAGAGTCGCGGACTGGCTCTCGAAGCACAGTCTCGTCTACCCCTATGGTATGTATGTACTGGAATCACCACCCCCAGAGCTACTTCCTCTGCTCCAAGATGACACCAACGGCGTTACTCTCCCAAGGAATATTGTGAACTCCACCACTACTATTCCTGACTGATCTCCCTTTGTCTTCTCTTTCTTTGGCTTTCTAGCCTCCTGTTATGCAAAAAATTAGCAAGATAAAAATGTCTCTCCAATATTGATCATTTACAAGAAATCCCTCAACTTTAATGTTCACTAAAAATTATCATATCAACTTAATATATGAATAGGATTGAATCTTGTTAATTAATCGTCCTAACCGATGTCTATCTTTCGTGGATCCATGAGAAAAGAAATTCATCATAAGGAGGATTCCCCGGAGATCAGGAAATGCAGGCTGGGACTTGATGAACATAAACGGACAACGTTGTACGCCAACCTGTTGCATGAGAAAAGAAATTTCCAAATTCGTGTTACTCAAATATTTATTGACAGGACAACGACTATCATTTTTCTCTCAGTCTAATGGTCTCGATTGTTTCTTAACCTTTGCAGTTAATTACTCAATTGTCAAGAGGTTTTACTTCACCTGTATAGCCCGTAGGAATGACATCTCAAGGCTCAAGCACGTGTTCCAGAATGAATGCCACTGCTTCTTAAGTTCTACCACCTCAATATTTCTCCTGGTGAGGTTACAAATTTAACTGCGCAACCAAATTCCACCCATCAGTATTACATTAATTCACCTCCAATCATTGCTTGAACAAGTTGAAGATTCCCCCATATCATATCAGTAGGGAACACGTAATTACCTATAAAAAGACTTGAGCTGAATCTAATTAGTAATCTAACCCCACTTGAAACATACTGTCAGAGTTAAATTTCATGTGCACAATAGAAAAACAGATATGAACACCAAAACGTGTAGACTGACGGCCGAATCCCCCCTATTCTTCACTTTCAGTTGAGAGGAAAGGGTCAGGAATCAGGCAGACCAGACATAAATACATGATTTGTTCCAGATTCAGTGGACAAGAGTGACAATCATAATGCAGGGTTTTAAGAAATAGAAAAGGGACCCAAGAAGCACAATGCAGACTGTGGAGGTGGGTGAACCAATATACAGTATACTGTATATTCCTCCCTTCAAAGGCAATTGTACCAGACAGGAGCAGAAAAAAGGAGGAGATAATGTAGTGATGATTAGAGCAAATATGGATATGACGATATGTATATCCATCTAACTATTAATGTTTGTTGGCAGAATTGTAATCGGATATAGACTAGAAGCTTTGCAGCCAGCCAAGGACAGTCAAAGGGACAGGCTGTTTTAAGTGCTAATAGAATAGGAAACCCCATTCATCTAACACCCTTCACCAACCTTTAATCATCAAACTCCAAACCCTATAAACAGAGCCATAAAGACATTATATACCCCACACGTGTGGTTTTTATATCCCAGTCTACCATATAGGTGGAATACCAACTCTTTTTCTTCTCTTCACCTGTTCCTTTCTCATTCATGCAAATCCCTAAAAAAAGTCAGGAATTCCTGAAGCTTCAGATTTCACTGTGCCATTGTGTTAAGAGAATAAATAAAAAAGGGGGTGAATCGAATCTGATAGGATGCTGATAGGGTAGGCGTCAGCGCGATCAGAGATTCAATCGCTCGTGCAATCTCAACCGTTAGATGTACGCGCGGCGGTATTTTAATTTGCTCACCACGTGCATCTAAGGGGATTTGAGATTATATATGTTTTTTTTGTTGAACGGTGCCAACAAGTGTCGCGATGCATACTCATCGACACAATAGCGCTAAAAAGTACAGCTTGAAGAAGCCAAGAAGTGAAGTCACAGGATCATGGTAGTGGATTAGTTAGGTTGTTATGGTTCACAAAGGAAGCAACCCAACTCAAAGGGGGGACTGAAATTAGGAGAATAAGGTGACAGCAGTTGCAGTTCGTAGGCCACTAACAAATCAAAAGGAATTCACACGAGGAAGCAACAGAAGGAAACTAAATGCATGACATATTATGTTGTCGGTGGTTCAATATTGAGAAATTGGCTCCAAAAGATTTATGACATGTTTGTCAGCTGTGATTGCAATTCTGTATACACAACATGTAGTATGAAACTATGGCATGGACCACTCTTAAATACGGCCTACGATTGGCTGTGGAGAACCAAAGTCCACCAAATCAATGCGCCCTAATATGGCCGGTGGTCAGCAGTCAATTTCAGCTATTGGGATCTCTTCGTAGCTTCAATAGATCATTTCAAGCTACTAGAGAGAAGGGAGAAAATACATTGTGATGAACTGACCTTGCAAAAACAAAATTCTACGTCTTCTTTTGTTGTTCGCCATGTTATCTTCCGTTACTCTTTCTCTCCCTCTACCTACCATGGAAATGGAAACCTGAAACGCTGTGCATGCCACACACCACCAGCTGGCCACTGGGACGGCAGGTAAACACATCCATGGTAAATAATACATCAAAATAGAATGGAAAAGGAGCATTCATCGAAAGCTCGGGACAAAAGTGTTGATTGACAAAGCGTAAGAAAAGTATGTTTGATAATAAAATAGAGTAACGATTGGTTGAACTTGTGCTAAAACAAGGAAAACGGGTAAAAGTGCATTCACAAATTAAAACAACAGCTGATATGATTAAGACCTTGATATTTGGATGAACGTGTGTACTAAAAGAGAAAGAAAAGGAAGAATGCGCTTGATCTAACTTCTGCCGTCCTACTAACTGTTCAAAAGCTTCTTAAACAGAGAATGGAATAGATAAGTAAAATTCATCACCAAAACCCAACTATTAACTCGAGAAAATGGCCAGTCTAAGATAGTTCAATGCATAAGCTTCAGATTTGTTCCCCTTTCTCATTGATTAATTAATACAGTCGTTTATCAAAAAGGAAGTACAAGTTTTCGTCCAGAAAAAAAAAAAAGGAAGTACAAGAATGAATTCATCAATCTGGACAGGGCTATGGCTAATTCTCCGGATCTAAAAGAGTCAGTATCAGTAAAAGACTTGGCAATCCATCTACTCATTTCGATAATCCACCATCCAAACGGCCCGTTAGTACTCCTATGTCACATTGCAAAAGAAGCATTCTCTGGACTGAAGTTCTCTATTTCACTGTGTATTTTGACTGACAATTTGTGGGATATTCTGTACGTTATTCAACCATTTATTCCAAGAGAAACCTTTGTTCAACTGCTAGAGCATGTCGTCGAACTAATAGTTAGATAGAAGTACTTACATTAGCAACTAAATATGACAAGAAAAGGTAATGCAATGAATCATGAAAGGACTTTTCTTGGATGAAACTTTGTAGATGTTCGTGTCAATCTAGCCTGTCTATACTCAGCTAGAAGTATTGTACAGTTCTCCTATGATTCAATCCATTGGGCCAGAAAACAGGTATTGCAGTATGGAAGTTGGGTTCTAGCCCCTGATGCCTACCACCGGGAAGAACAAGAAAGTACAATCTTCGTTTTGGGACTGTTATGAGGTATGAAGCAACCTGTGAGATACTATAATCTCACACACTGGAAAAGTTAAACTATAACAATAAGATCATCAGAGTGGGAAACATACCAGGATGGACGCAGCAAGAGAATAAGGAGCCTTCAGGAGAACAGAGTCTCTCTTTTTATAAAGAAGATCCATGATGTACATGCAAGCTTCAAAGATCAGTAGTTCACCATGCTTATCAACTCCTCAGCACTCAAACACCCAAAAGAAGCAACCAGTAGCTCAGGATATCCTGCAAATGGACAGCAGATTACTTTACATGATTTGCACAAACACTTGGAAAAATAAGACTCAGCTGAAATGTAAGAGATGAAAGCACATCCACTAGCTCTAAGATGCATACCTGCAGAAAGACAGTCTTCTGCATCACAAAGTCATTGATAATGGTTACAATTATCGTTTGTAAAGACGAGAATGTTGAGGGCAATAGAACGAAGATGGTGGAGTTCCAAGAGAGTTCACCTTGCCAAAGATCCATCTGAAAACAAAGAGCAAAATAACTGTAAAAACCATTTTATCTTCATGTTCAGCTTTGCAAACCCACTAAAAAGAAAATTCTAGGGTTTCGGATACATCTGTGCAGTCACCATCGTCGAGGGAAAATCTCACACCAGCTATCAAGAGATCAGCAAAACAAGTCCTAAACACAAAAATGCCAAACATGACTCATTCCAAGCAAATTCGGTCATACAAGTTTCCAGACCGAAAGAAACCAAACAAAGGGATAAAGGAAGTACAGGAAAACAATACTTGAAGAGAGTGGAAAGCTCGATCGGAAAAAGAGAGATGGTGCGGTGTATTTGACGGGTCGGGCAAACTTCTTTTTGCTACAATTTGCAATTCAAATCTAAGGTAAGGAATCAGAGAAAAGAGGAAATAGTAAGGACAAATGCAAAGGTTGAGAACGAATTGCAAACAAGAATGTCAATGGCTTGAGCTAAAAGGATGAGAAACTCCGCCGCTCGCGGCCGGAAACTGGAAGTGGAGTCGGCGAGTCGCTACTCGCCGTCCTTTCTTCTCCATATGACATCTGAGCAACTCTCCGGCCGTTCCTACAACTGTTCAGACTTGACCGGACATGGAAGGAACGCGGGCACGCGGCAGGGTCCGGGGAGGGCATTTTTGCGGGAGTTTTTGAATGTACCAACCCATTTTGGGCCAAATAACAGGCCGGCCCATTACATTCTTTCAATTTCCCACACAATACGGCCCATCTCATTTCTTCCACCTATTTTCCCAAATACGGCCTATAACGTACTTTGTATGGTGGGCCTATAAAAGAGGTCACTACTCACAACAACAATAATTGTTACAGATTTACAAACGAACTCTCTATTTACATTTCCACACACCATTACATTCTAAGTTTCTAACCATTGTGCACAGGCGACCACCATTGTGCCGCCGTTCTTGACCAGGTCCGCAAGCTGCTCTCTAGAGATTGGGATGTCAGAGTCGAGCATATTTGCAGAGAGGGTAATAGTTGTGCTGATTATTTGGCTAGTCGTGGATATGCTCTTCCGATAGGTTTTCATGAGGTTGCGAGCTCTGATCCGAAGCTTGCTTATTGGCTTTTGTATGACTGTCAGGAGATTTTCGAACCTAGTTGATTTTGAATGAAGAGTAAGGTGCCATATCATTCATTATTAAAAAAAGATAATGTCTATTTTTTATCCAAATCTTTTTCAGATTCTTTTATATTATCCAAACCAATTAAAATACTATTAATTAGTCAAATATTTTCTAATACATCAAAATATTAGCCATTTTTACGTCATCATTAATAATTTGTAACTCTTTTCTTAGTTAAGATACTAAAATTTTGGAAACCTTCATGTGTCGCTTCCAAGTCAGTATCATGTTGCCAAGTCAATATTACTAACAAAACTGCTAACAGGAAGTTAACATTTGGCTCATTCTTAGTATTTTAATAGGTTTGAATAATATAAAATAATCTAAAAAAAGTTTGGATAAAAAATAGACATTACCAAGTGTCTGAACATTAGAGATGGAGAAGAAGAGAGAGGGAGGGGAGAGAGGCAAGAGGTGGTGGGTGAATCTTGTAATAAATTTATTTTCTTATGAAATTTGAATTTTTAATAGATATAAGTTATTACATTCCATTTCAATCGCTAAATTTCTATCTTATATATTTAGAAAAGGTGTAAACGGCTCAAACAGGTTGGACCTCAATGAAACCATTAAACTTCAAACTACTTGCTTGACTGACTCAACAACTTAAATCGGTTTGACAACTTTGGTTATAACAATTAAGCTTACAATGTTCATCATTGTTGAAAAGTTATGAGAATTTCAAAAATGGAAAAATAATTTCGATGTCACCTAAATATCATACGAAATTCAGCATTTTAAGTAATTTAAAAAATTTAAATACACATCATACATACATTATATTCAATGACATTCTGACCAACGTGCTCGGATAACAAGGTAGGTTTAGAAGTTGGCCACAAGAACAAAATAGAAAAGGAAATTTTCTCGGGAAAAGAATAGAAAATAAAGTAAACAAACAAACTTTTATTCACTTTGTACCAAAAATTGAGGGATTTACACTTTTACAGTATTCCCTATCAATGATCAATGCATTTAAAATCGGGATTTTGATCCTAAAATCGTAGGATTTTAGGATTTTACTTAGGGATTCCGATCCTGATTTTACTATAAAATCGCTGGACCTTAAAATCGTTTAAAATCGGGATTAAAATCGTTAAAATCGTACCAAAATCGGGATTTTGATCGCATGAGAACAAAATAGGTGGTTTGAGCCAATTTAAAAGAAGCATAACAGTTTTAGTGCAAAGGGCAATGACATGAATCTTCTCACATATTTTTCTAATAGAAAAATATTTAAATATAATAAAAATAATCAAATTAGGGCGCTCTTAATCCATTTCACTTCGTCCCATTTAACTTATTGGTAAAACAATTGTACTAGTATTGGAAGTATCAAGTATGTAAGAATTAACATTATTATTAACTAACTTATTTATTAATGAATATATTTATACCAAGCCACTAGCATTACTTATTTTATTTGAGTTCAGTTATTTTTAGTTTTAAATCATACTTAGTAGACGATGTCGGAATATTACTTTAACTTAAACTATCTAGACACAACATGAAAACAAGAGGGAAACCCCATGAGCTCTATCCCTTCATCATGAATTATTTTGAGTTACACATTAAATAATAATTAAATAGTAATTTTGGGACATTAATCTTGAGAATTATCATTTTAAATGTTATGTGTCTTTGTGTTATTAATAATTTACCTCACTAATATTCTTATATGTTATGTTCTACATATATGGTACTTATAATCCTACGATTTTACGATTCGATTTTACGATTCCGATTTTTACCCCAGTTTTTGATTTTAGGTAAAATCCCGATTTTAACTACTTTGCCAATGATCATCGTAATCTCTATGGAAAGCAATCAATCTAAACTCAATTTCACTCAATCTCTATCAATTGTTCCTACGGTACAAAGCCATGGCGGCGGCATCGGTGCTTCCAATAGCCGCCACTGCAAGAAGGGTCGTCTTGATCGTCTCAGTGAATTCCTTCTTTTCCGCCTGTTTCTCGTTCTTCTTTTCAGCCTCCACCCAGGCTGACAACATGGAGCGAGAATTCTTCTCCTCGGCTTCTCTCTGCAAATGACTCTGCTTTAGTGTCTCCTTGTAGCTCGCCACCCCAACAAATGCAGAGATGATGCTGATTGAGCGCATTGTCCACATAACAAGAACCTCTTTCTTCTCCCGAGCTGCATTCTCAGTCTTGTTTCGTTGGCAGTTAGAGCATTCTTGACCGCCCGGAGAAGGGTATCCCTTAGAAGCCTTGCCGCCGGTCAGAGGAACGCGACGGCTGGGAAGTCCATTTATAGAAGATCATAGTGGCCCACAAGAAGAAGAAAAAAAAACCAAGGGCGCTAATGTAATATTATCATAATTCGGGCGACGAA